TTTTTTTTTTTTTTTTTTTTTTACTATTTATGCTTCTTTATACAGATTTTTTAAATAATAAGTTCCACTCTTCTCTTTCTGGTCTTATTAGAGAGTGGGAATACTGGCTGGCCAGTCAAGTCTCAGGAAAATCGCACAGCTGTTCCGAAAAAAAGCCCCATTCATAAGATGCCTGCTGTCTACAACTGCAGTGTTGGAGAAAGGCAGACAGTTTTATAAAGAGCTTCTTTTCTTTAAAGAGGAAAAGAAAATATACGGTGTTTATGGAAAAGAGAACTAAACCCTTTTAGTGGCCATGTCTGCAATGGAAGTGGGAAAGGCCATAAATATGCACAAGCAATTGGGCCTTTAGGGATGGTTCCGACTAGCTGTGCTGCCCATGGTGGAAAATCTAGCTAGTTGAGCAAGATCAACCAGTGAGCCTGATTTTTGCTATCTTATGACATATTTGATTTATATTAATTAATGGTACTCACTCTCTCTTTTCGTTTCTCTCTCTCTCAGTTCATGACCAAAAACCCCACTATGCGCTTGGGCAGCTTGACTCAGGGAGGTGAGCATGCCATCTTGAGACATCCTTTCTTTAAGGAAATTGATTGGACCCAGCTGAACCAGCGTCAGATAGAACCACCTTTCAGACCCAGAATCGTAAGTGCCCATTTCTATTATAATTGAACCAACTTTCCTCATTCTTTAAAGCTCAACCTGCTACTTGTCAGGTAGACTCACACTGGAGGAGCTGGGCTCCTGCCCTACAAGGCAACATTTCTCAAGTGCCAAGGTTACTTCTGAGTTTTCACCTCTCATTGTCCTGGCCCCATCCTTCCTTAACCTAAGTAGAAATCTCCCAGATTTCTGAGGGGCCTGAACCTTGCCAGGTTTCTCCAGATGAATTTAACTCATTGAAAAATTCCTTGTTCCTAACCGAATTTCCCTTAACCCCTCAATCAGAGTGCTTTTTGTGCCTTTCCAAGATCCCCAAGAAAGTAAAGATGTGAAATATTCCCCACTTTACTGGACCCAAGCCTCTTGGCTCAGCCCACATCTGTAATGGCCACAGCAGACCAAGTCTGTTTATCTAGAGGTACCCTGAGTGGAGTGATGTTTCTGAGTTAGGTCCAGCTCACAGTCTAGAAACTGAGCTCTTGTTCATCCTTGAGTCACATGCCCTACACAGTGGGTAAGGTAGATAGGCAGAGCCGTTTACTAGATGGAGCGCTATGAAGAGGAATAATACAAAGGCAAAGAAAGAGGTCTCACGGACTCTAACCAGAAAAGTGCCAGTCTAACACTGATAGAAATGATCTAAAGATGTCACCTATACTGCTTCTCCAAACAGAATCAGTAACCAATTGCATCAAATTGACTCCAATTCATGGTAACTTCAGTGTAGCAAGGTAAACTCAGGCTTCAGGGTTTTCAATGGCTAGGTTTTCAGAACAAGCTCATCAGGCCATCAGCTAGCTGCATGCTGGAGAGGGGTCCCCAGCTGGTGCAAATGGTTTACACTCATTGAAATGCCACTGGCTGGACTCAAACTACTTCAGAGAGCATTAACCATTTGTGCCACCCAGCATGCAGCTAGCTTCATCTATAGCAGCCTGCTAGGCCAGGGGACACCACGCAACCAGAGGTCATGCATTTCCTTTAATGGGCATCCCCCAGAAGTTCCTGAGTTTAGGGAGCACTCTGCTTTCAGAGATCAGATCCTGTTGTGGGCACTGCTCAGCTGTCCCAGCAGAGCAGCCTGCATCTGACCAGTGAGAAAACAGAGGCAATTGCCCCCTAAGCCCTGCATTTCTCGATGCTTCTCAGAAAAAAAATCTTTCCAAGCAAACAATAAGTAGGGAAAGTGTGAATAGATTCAATCTCTATTAAGAAATGTGAACTTAGGGGCCCCTCAGTAAGGAGTGGGTGGGAGCATTGGTGACTGAAGACTAGTGAGTGCCCAGCTGGTTCCGGTGACTAATTCCTGACCTCCCAGGCTGAGGCTGGCCTGTTCAGCAAGATTTTCCTGGGCTTAGTGAATTGGGAGTTACCAAATGCTATAATAATACACAATGCAATAGAATTGCTAAGAAGTACTGTTTAATCATCATTATTCTAACTGTTACTGCTAATGGTGGAATTACAGAACAGTTCTCTGAAGTCAGTGGAATGGGCTCAAGCCACTGAAAATAAGTCTCAGGTATATAAAATCTGACCTTTTTTCCCTTTTTGACAGAAATCTCGAGAAGATGTCAGCAATTTCGACCCCGACTTCATAAAGGAAGAGCCAATTTTAACCCCAATTGATGAGGGGCATCTTCCCATGATTAACCAGGATGAATTTAGAAACTTTTCCTTTGTCTCTCCAGAATTGCAACCATACTCTTAATGGGGAATGAGAAAGATGATATAAGAATCAAAAGAGAATCAAGATTTTCCAAGAATGTCCTTGTAGGGACTCCCCAGCATCGGTCTTAGAACAAAAACCAAACCTTCAAGAAACAGGTTGAGAATTCTGCAAAGGACAGAGCTTCAAGTGATCAACTCTTTCAAGTTCTAAGGAGCCCATGGTTCCGAAAATAATTGAAAATGAAGTGAGATTTCAAGAAGGGTTTTGCTCAACCTATATGTTCCCAATGGCTATTTTGGGCTTGAGAAAGTAACAAGAGCCAAAAGGAGAAAAAGTATGAAGAATAAACTCGATCTTAAAAATTCTGAGCCAAACAACAATAAATAAAATTTGGAAGGGAAAAAATAATTCTGAGCTTTTTATGTCAAGACGTAGATCAAGACTTTGTATGGACCGCTTTGCGTTCTTCTTGGAACAAACAAGTCTCTTAAATGCTCGTGAAGAATTTAAAGATAGTTTGAAAGGAATGAATGGCTTTCCAAATAGAATGATTTACTCTGAAGAAACAACAAAAAAATGGCATCAAGTAAAACTCACAACTTAAAGCCCAGTTTCAAAAAAACTTACAGAAGTACCAACACAACTAGTATTGCTTACTCTTACCTTCAATTACTAGCTATTTATTGGGTGCCCAGTGAAACGGTGCCAGCATACCCAATTGCATAAACAACAGATTTGTGTGAATGGAGCTGTATTCTAGAATCCATTAATTTACCTGGATATTGTTTGCATTCTGTGAAATGCCTTTCCACGTTGCATACGTGATACTTCCTTGTCTGCACAGAACTCTTTTTCACAGAAGAAATCTCCTCCCAAAGCAACTGTCCGTGTGATCAGCAGACAAAAACCAGAGGTGCCTGCAACCTGCTGACCTATGGGAGCTTATCATGGGACCACGTATCGATATTGCTCAGAATCCTAAGTGAAGAAACTCATGTCATGGTTTATATGCTAGCAGTGTATTTAAATTATACTTTGAGAAAATGATGTCTGTTGGGTATAAACTTTAATAATTAGAATTGGATCTTTTGAGCATGTACATTTATCAAGAAGGAGCTTACAATATGTAAACATATATGTAGTTGGAAAATGTTATCTGACTGGAAATAAATTTTTTTTTTTTTTTAAGCAAAAGGAAATTTTTTGTCTGGAAGGACTGATGTCATTCTCCACTAGGAGAATATATTTCTGATCAAAAGTAAAGATTAGAGCAAAGTGTATAGAACTCATGACTTAAAGCAAATTCCAGATAGGAGTTTTAGCCTCATCTTCTGTGTAACACTGTAATCGCCTTTATCTATCTGACCAGAATTTCTGAATCAGAGTGATGACTTCAAAGCATTGCTGCAACATTAATCCTTAAAATCTGAGTGGTTAGACATAATAAATGTTTATTTCTCATTTGCATGCAGTCTAGTGCAAGTTCGATGGCCCTCCTGTCTTGGAAGTAATCTGGAAATTTGAGTTGCTAAAGTTGCCATAGTAGGGGAAGAGAGAGAAGAGGTGTGCACTGCTTAAATACCTCTCCTAGGAGGAACATATATGACCTCTGCTCACAGTCAATTGGACAGAGCATAGTAGCCTCACTCTAACAAATAGCAATGTAGGAATTTTAGACCAGTTGAGGGATATCAGGCTAGTACTGACAATAATGTGCCCTAGGTTATTTTTTGTATCTCAAGGTAAGAATTTACTTTTGATTAAAAAGAATAGTTAAGATTCTCCTGTTAACATTTGTTTAGCATTTAGCAGTTCATAGACACTTTCACCTACATAATTTCATAGATTGTAACATCCCAGTGATGTAAGCAGGTCCTCCAACTATTATGCCCACTATTTCCAATGTGAATACTGTTCTACATTTTACAGATGAGAAGAAAACAGAGACTCCATGTTGAGTTAATGTATGACCCATGACTTTCCTACTTAGTAAGGATGGACCCACAGCTAAAGTGTAAATCTTTGAAGTTCTAATCCAACAGTCCCCCGGGGAAAGGAAGGATCATACTAATTTGGGGAGTTTTTGACCTTCACAACTACCTTACAGCTCAGGATATTCTACTGCTCAGGGGTTAAGATTAGCCACTTGATGTGACTCTTCATAATGATAGAAAAACAAAATGAATAAAGTATACCTCCTGTGTTCTTTTACAAAATCCAGGATCACAGCTGCACACAGAATCCACAGTGTTCTCTTTGTTGAGTTTGTGTAATCACTCAGCAGCTTCCCTCTCCACAGTCTGTTCTTGAGCCCACTACCTGGGTCTCTATCTTTGGGTTAAGTCCATTCTTTTGAGATAATTCCAGAGTAACAGACAGATTATCCAACAGTTAATAATTTTGGTATGCTAGGATTTCTGGTGATTTCCTTCTCACCTCTCACTTTTATATGTGATGAGAGAGAAGAGGTACAGCATTCTGTATCTAAAACTCAGAGTCTCCAATCGCAGGGTTAGAGCTCCGTTCACATCTTTCATTAGTTCACTTAAGCCTCACATCCACCTCCTGAGAGATCACAAGCCTACCCTTGGCTGTACTTCCTGGGCCAGTCAGCAAGAGCTGGGGCCACTGGGACTGCCAAGTCCTTGGAACTCAGCTGGTCACCTGGAGGTCAGGAAAAGTTACATTGTAACCCTTCATCCCTCAGGACTTTCTTGCCTCTTCAGTAAGGAATTTTGAGAGACACTCAGGTGCTGTCTTTACCTCACAACTCATTTGCCCCTATTCTCTCAAGCCCCACACTGACTTCACCTTTTAACTTAATAATTGAGTGTTTATTATGTTTGAGGCCCTATACTAAAAACTTTAAATCTATTTATGAAGTATCCATAATGTGGGTACCTTTCTCTTCATAGAACCAATGGGGAAACTGAGATATGGAAGTTTAAATAACTTGCCCATAGTCGCATAACTTTGGCAAGAATTCAAACCAGACCTTTAACTCTAGAGTCCTTAATTAAAACCCAATTAGAATAAAGGCCAATTCAAGTATTTCTACCATTGTGAGCTTTTTTGAGAAATGGGGGTTAGCAAGAAGCACAAGATAAAATCACCAGCCAGCATAGGCAAGAGAGTATTAGCCATGCACTCTGCAAAACCATTTGTCAGCAATGAAATTGTATGGTTTGCATATCAAAGACCTGTAGTTGCTAAACTTACACTCCCAAGGAACTGGGGCAGGCCAGAATGATGCAATCTGGACCTGGACCTCCATGAGGAAGAGGAAATAGTCTGGGTCAGACTGGATTCTGTAAATGCTGTCTGAACCCCTGGAGTAACCTCTGATCCTTGGTGGGGCTTCTAACCCATTCCTATTTTCGAGAGGAACTTTTTCATATTTCAGTCATTCCTTGCCACCACACCCTGCAGGGTCATGTGACATCATCAGGAAGAAATCCTGCCTGGAGCCTACCTTTGCAACTATGTTTACAGCCACAGAGTTGATGCAACTTGGTAGCAAAGAAAAGAAACAAGGCTTAAACCACCTCACCCCCTTTATCATTTATTGATCTTAATTGGGTACACGTTGTTTTGAAAACATTCCCGTGCCAGATTTGGCCTTGACTGTTTCACGGGCAAATGCCACTGAGCTTTATATCTTTATACCCAGGTATCGCGATCCTGATTGTTTAATCAGGCAGTGTTGACCTACACAGCTAGATAGCCCACTGTGGCTGTCCCTGGCTCCGAATTGTACTGGCTGCTATGACTTCTCCGCTTACATCATCCAAAGATAAAACGCAGATACAACTTCCGTCATGTACAATGGGAATGAGCTCTGTGGCATGTGCGCCTCTAAACTGGATTGCAGGTGTGACAGAGCATGCCTGAGTGTGCCTATAAATGGGTGTTAGAGTCTCCCTTTCTTCCTGTGTTAGATTAGAATCAAAGCTCAGGATACCACCCACAGCTTCATCTGTCACCTGGAGGTGACCCCCCCCCCCCCCCATCATCTTCACTTGCTGTCAGCTGTTCTTTTCCCTCCTCCTTTCTTTGCTCTTATTCCTCAGGGTTAATAAGTCTGTCTGTCTTCTCCTTCTCCCTCTTATTCTACCATTTGATTTGCAGAGCCCAACCTATTATATAGCCAGGTTTCCAACCACCAAGAAATCCTGATTTGCATATTCATTTTACAGAATGAAATGGCAGTCACTTTTTCCATGTATTTCTGCACTTTTTGTATCCTTGTGTGAGCTTTTGCCCTCACATGCTCTTTCCATGAGGGAAGCCCTGGCCTACAGCTGCACAACTCAGAGGCAAGATGTCTCAGTGGTCAAGAGCACTGGCCTGAGTGTGTGCAAACCTTTTGGTTCTTAAGAAAATTTAGTCACTTCCTTAGATTTCAGTTTTCCTATTTGTAAAATGGGTGTGAAATAGTACTTGCCCTACCAGTTGCTCCTCGAAAACCCTAAACAGAGTCACTGTGAGTTGGAAGTGACTCAATGGCACTTAACAACAAACCATGTATTATTCACTGAGTTCCTCAAGGATACAGTAGAACTGCTCCATAGAGTTTCCGAGGCAATATATCTTTTTGGAAGCAGCCAGCCACATATCTTTCTCCTGTGGAGCAGTTGATGGATTCAAACCGCCGACCTTTTGGTTAGGAGTCCAACACTTAACCCACCGTGCCGTCAGGACTTACAGAACTGCTCTGAGTTGGAATCGACTTTACAGCGGTGGATGCCTTGTATTATCACAGTGGGGATTAATTGTGGTGTTACATGTCAAGCACTGAACATAGTGATGGGATGTAGAAAGTTCTCAATCATTGTTCGCTATTATTATCAGCCACTCTACAGAGGATGATGGGACGGGTGCCATGTGGTGTCCACTAGGAAACAAACAGGAGACATCCATGTTCTTCATACTGCTGCCAATGATCCTGTGTCATCTGATGAGGATACTGTGCTAACTCCTTGTTGGATAAATGTTGTATTTTTCTAACTAGTTGGCTACAAAGAATCCTCAGGAGACAT